ACATCAGATGCACCATGGCCTATGCTCACACTGTACTCATGCATACTCACATATTTTAAATGTCAGAAATAAAGCAGTAAGAAAGATGACATAAATGGGCAAAGCCAAAACTTCAGAAGAAAATCTGAGAAAGTCCTGCCGGGAACATCTCCTCTTACACATTTAAGTGTCTGCATAAATACATATTTATACATCAGACACATGATACAACACCTGCCAACCAAGACCGAGCTATAAGACACATAAACCACCACTACTGCCCTTCGACAAAACCAGGTAAAGAAACAAACAGCACCAACACAGAAGGTAGCAATCCCACGCTATACATAATTATTTACACAGCGGTATTAGGGTTTTGAGGCTGGACAACTTTTCAAACTGCATTTGGTCCTGCGGCAGAAATTAAAGCAAGCTGATTTTCCTCCAGAGATGGTGAGGTTTGGAAAATCAAGGACGACACTGTGAATGGTCTCAGGAATTGAAAGTGTCACTCCCACTTAGGCTCAAGGATCCTGACCAGGTCCACAGGGAAGGCAACAGCCTCTCGCATACAATACTGCCTGCAGCAACAGTCCTGGAGTCTCCCTGAGCTGTGAGGCAGAGGTCCAGCCTTGGGAGAGCCCATCATGGAGCCACCAGCCCAACAATGTTCTCTGGATGTTGTTGCCAAATTCCAAAGGACAGCACATGCTGGGCCCAGCTCCTACTGCAGCTCTCTATCCTGCTAGTCTCTGGAAATAAGCTGAGGAGTAAATCTCCACTCACAATAGCACTTGAAAGGAGATGTTCCTAACTAACTTTCTGTTTATTTACCGGCTGTCTCAGGTCTCTGGCTGCAATAAACACCACGACCAAAAGCAAGGTGGGGAGGAAAGGGTTTATTTCATCTTACAGCTCATAGTCCAACATCTCAGAAGTCAGGACAGGAGCCTGCATGCAGGAGCTGATACGGAGGTCTTGGAGGAATACTGCTTACTGGCTTGTTCCTCATGGCTTGCTCAGACTGCTTTCTTAAATACTGCAGAGCCACTGCCCAAGGGTGGCACTACCTGTAGTGACCTGGACCCTTCACATCAATCACCAATCAAGAAAATGTACCACAGGCTCACCCACAGGCCAATCTGGGCATGTGGTGGTGGGGGGGCGCATTTTTGCAACTGAGGTTCTGTCTTCCAGAGTGACTCCAGCTTGTGTCAAGTTGACATAAAAACAGCCAGCACAGCAGTGTGTATTTAATGTTAAAATGTGTTTTCTAACAAACTGAAGGGGAAAGTTATACCATCAACCATGATAGAATAAACGGTATTCAATTATTCCATACCTTAAAACACTAACAGCAAAATCAGATACAATGCAAGGTGACAGTTTTAAGCAATGTTCAACAGACATCAGAGGGTTCAAGATACGGGCCATTGTCTTCCTGCTGGCAGGATTCCCACCACCATACTGAGATGAACACTGTGTGGTGAGACACACACACGAAGACAGACAGACAGACAGACACACACACACACACACACACACACACACAGAAGTTGCACAGGGTCTCACTAAAGACACCCCAGGAATAAATGAAGGAGGGTGCTATGCGTGTGTGGACCAGTGGGAAGTCCCAAGAGCCACAAGTAGATAAGGTGCCATCTCACAGTGACATGCCTTGCTTGAAAACCTCGGACACTCATGGAGAGGAAACAAGGAAGGAAGAGAGGGAGAACGTGGAGAAAGAGATTTGGTATTTGGCATAGTGTTCCTCAAAAATAAATAAATAAAACTTAATTCAAGGAAAGCATCAGATAGTATTTGTTGCCTGCTATAAAAATTGAAAGTTTCAGCTGAGCGGTGGTGGCGCACGCCTTTAATCCCAGCACTCAGGAGGCAGAGCCAAGTGGATCTCTTTGAGTTCGAGGCCAGCCTGGGCTACAGGACAGGCACCAAAACTACACAGAGAAACCCTGTCTCGAAAAACAAAACAACAACAACAACAAAAAATTCAAAGGTTCGTGTTATGGGATATTTGTACACTGTGTGAAGGTGTATTACTGTGAAAGGTGTAATAAAAAGCTGAACGACCAACAGTTAGGCAGGAGGTATAGGTGGGATTTCGGAGGAAAGGATGAGGAGAGCGAATCTAGAGGAGACACCAGCAGACACTGAGAGGAAGCAGGAGGTACAAGATGGAAGAGAGGTAAAGCCACGTGATATAACATAAATTAATATAAATGGGTTAATTTAAGCTAAAAGAGCTAGTTAGGAACAAAACTAAGCTATAGGCCAAGCTTTCATAATTAATAATAAACCTCTGTATCATTATTTGTGAGGAGGCACCTAACGTAAAACTACTACATTTTCAAGTGAAAATTAGCAGTCTGAAGATCTCAGCTGAAGGTGACCACTTGCTAACACAGGGAGTCAGATGTACAACCAGTGCTGATACCAAGGCCTGGACAGTTTAAAGCTTATAGTGAACGGTATCACTGTCTAGAAAAGCTGCCTAATTCGGCAAGCCAACATTTCTGATCGACCAGCACAGGTATTACAAACTCAGGCCTGGAATAAAGACCATTCAAAGAACAAAACAGGCTGGAGGATTTCAATTCAGCAGAGTTAGAAAAGTTTCACAATTCTGGAACAGGATTCAAGGGAAAGAGCCCCAGTTATCTGAAAAGATCCAACTGTTCATCTGTTTCAGGCCACCCTGTCTTTGCACACGTCAATAAAAACCATGTGTCACAGCAGCAAACTGAAGACAGAAATAGACTTAAGAGTACAGAAGACATCATACAGGGCTATGAGGAGCAATGGTGCTTGCCGCATCTGCGTGAGGGCCCAAGGTTAGATCCCCAGCACACATCTGAAAAGTGAGAAAATGTCCTACCTGCCTGCAACCTAGCCTTAGAGGTGGGGTGCGAGCAGTGGGATCACTGGGTTTGTTGGTCAGCCTGGGCAGAACCCAGCAAGCTCCAAGTCGGTGAAGGACTCTGCCTCAAGGGAGTAAGGAGGAGAATGACAGAGCAGGACACCCTACAACTTCCTGTGACTCCAGACAGGCACACGGCCATGCGAACTGACACATTCAGAGGCACGCATGCATAACCACACACATGCACACAAAAGTTTACACAGACATCATGGAGATCTACAAACTAACCAATATCACTTGTCTCAAAAGTTTTCTTTTTGGAAAACATCTCTTTGTTAACATGTAATCTGAATCACCATGCAGTGAGTTTAGCACTGCTATTCTTTATATCAATAAATGTTGCCGGGCGGTGGTGGCACACGCCTTTAATCCCAGCACCCAGGAGGCAGAGGCAGGAGAATCTCTGTGAGTTCGAGGCCAGCCTGGTCTACAGAGTGAGTTCCAGGAAAGGCGCAAAGCTACAGAGAGAAACCCTGTCTCGAAAAACCAAAAAAAAAAAAAAAAAAAGTTAAAAACTGCGAGTTTAATTCCTAATAAGGTGAATGCCAATAGATTGAAAACCTGTACAACACTTTCTGATCTTGACTAACTAAGAGAGCTCTGATTCTGAGACCAAGAAAGTCTGAGAAATCTGACTATAGAAATGAGGCGACAAGAGCTGTACCCATCCTCGGAGTGTGAGCGCGGCGGCAAACAGCCACCCCTGGACGGACCTGAGAGAGCAACCTTCTGTGCCACATCCAGGCTCCATCAGAGCAAAGTGAACCCGGGGCTCCCCTGAAGCCTTAATGTTGTCCTCTCACTGACGGCCGAGAGCCACTAGGCCCTCGCAGAAAGTGTCACAAGCCCTGCTGGCTGTCACACTTACCCCCAATCTCTCCTAAACCTCGACCACACACAGGCAACAGCCAAGCACAGTGGAAAACCCTCCCTACCGATTTCACTGCCACTCCCTCCATCCTGGACACTCCACAGGATGATGCTGCTCTCGGAAGCGACGGCCACCATCTTGTCTTTGTCCCCATGAGGACCTCCGACCACTTTTGCATTCAGGGCCACTCGTTCAATGGTCCAGTCCAGGTAGGGGCTTGTAAACACCTGCTGCCACCCTGAAGACTCCTTGATCCTGGAAAGAACAGACATGGAAGGTAGACTTAGTGGCGAAGAGGAAGAGAACAGAAACCAACAAAGCAAAAATAAATAAACAGATGGCCACACCCTCCACCTACCTATATCAACTTAATGTAACTGATATGTGTTATCTACTGTTGCAGAATTATTATTTTAACTGGGCAAAGATGTGTTACATTTGTTTACGCTGCTGTATAAAGGTGTGTTATTTTTGTTTCTGCTGTATTTGTTTAACGATGTAAAGATGTGTGTTTAATTATGTAACGATGTGTTGCATCTGTTTCACCTTGCCTGGCTAAGGCACCTGATTGGCCTAATAAAAAGCTGAATGGTCAATAGGAAGGCAGGAGAAAGGATAGGCAAGGAGAAATTAGGCTCGAGAGAAGAAGAGAATGAGCGAGACATCCAGGGCAAGAAGCCAAGCAGCCATCAGTGCGCCAGAGAGAGACATCAAGAAAGTAAGAAAAGGTAAAAAGCCCTGAGGCAAAAGGTAGATAAAGAGAAACAGGTTAAGTTAAAAGGGCTACCCAGAAACGAGCCTCAGCTAGGCTGAGCATTCATAACTAATAATACGTTTCTCTGTCATGATTTGGGAGCTGGTTGGTAGCCCAAAAGAAAAAGCCTGGTACAATCTACAAAGACAGTATTATTCCTGAGCTTACATTTACATACATTGGACATATGGCCACAAAAAAGGACTAGAATATGTATTTCTCTAAAGAATTTGTTTTATAAAATACTTTAAAAAATAAAAAAATTAAGATAGTTGTATTTCTCACATTTTCCCATAAAGCTACTACTGTCATTCTGAGTGGACAATGATGGCCAACAACAGTCAGAATTTTGGATGGAATTTGTATTCCTTCCTGTTAGCAATCATACTAATGATGTCACTAGTGTGACGTGGCAAGAACTGAAGTCTCTGGAGCTCAGATGACATTACCTCATAGCCTGAAAGCCCTTAGAACAAATGCACACTGGGCTGAGAAGCCTCCTCTGAGATGGTTTATACGCGTCGAGATGTGACTTCACGAGAGCACCTCTGGGCTTCTCCAGTGACTACAGGTGCCCCTTCTGGTTATCTCCTCTTCCTCCCTGGCCCCTTCGCCTGTCTCTCTGAAGTAAGGTCTTTCTGTGTACCCGAGGCTGGCATGAAGTAGAACTTACTGTGTCTCCAATTCCATCTTCCTGCCTCAGACTCTCGGGCTGAGATTGTAGGCTTGTACCACCATGCCTGGCTCCCACTTCTAACAGATTTCTCTGTCCTGTGTGAAGTTAGGTCTTCCAGACAGGTACTCTACCTGACTGCCCAGCAAGCCTCCAGGTTTACAGCCTGCTTGTATCATCATGATGAAGAAGCCACCAAAAGTACCATCCTGGTCCTGCCTAGCAGGTTGCCCTTTCCCACTGTGGACACTGTGGGCACACGGTGAACACTGACCTGGGTGGCCATTGCTTAACGGGCACGGGCACAGGCACGGCCACCATTTTCATTTAAATATGTATGCTCAAGTAATAGGACAACTACAGCTCACAAAATCAGGCCATAATGAGAATTAATGTTTTCCTAACTTAAGCTTCAAAGCAATAAAGGGCAAAATTTATCAATTTCTCTCCATTGTAATGTCTGTAATTACCCTTTTCAGCCACCAGATGGGAGTGATGTATTAAGATAAACATAAAAAAAAATAAATCTAATAAACTCTAAAAGAGGCAACTACTGCACAGTGAAGACTCTTAGGCCCTTTCCTTCAGACTGGGCACAAAGCAGGGATTGTCCACACTTCAAGACTAACGCCACAGGCTGTGTGGCAGTGTGGCCACAGGGCGGCTCCCAACAGATCTCAGCAGCCGTGCTGGTGGACTGAAGGACAGAAGGGCATGATCATACAAAAAAAAAGATGTAGGGACATACACAACACCCACTTCCAGAGAGCACACTTCGTGTGTCTGCAACAATTAGGATCTTATAGGATAAAATATTTATAATCTGGAGAGCATGACTGCACAGCTACAGAATTTAACTCAGTAAGGCAGGTGAACTTGTGTTTTCAAATTGAAATGCATGCAAAGAAATCGATTAGCTATATAATTTTCCATGGAGGCGATGAAAGTTAAAACATGTTAAACGAGACAACAAGAACTGACAATCCAGCTCTTCACTGCTGACTCTGGAGTAAGGACGGCAGTGCAGAGATTATCGTGTTTTCCATAGTAAAGTCTCACCCAAGGTTTAGTAAGTGTGAAAAGTACTGTAAACACATTGTTCCTCAAAGTAAATGAGTGTATTTAAGTATGATAAGCATGTAAGAGTTCAAGATACCCAAATACACAGATACACACACACACACAAAACACACGCGTGGTGGAGAGAGCTTCACACTCAGCAGGAAGCTGACTTACATGATAAATGATGCAAACATAGTTACTCACATTCTTAAACTTTACACCATCTACACCAAAGGAAATTCCTCCCACACTGAGAGGGCAAGAGGGCAGCAATTTACACAAGTTCTTCATTTATTCAAAGACTGTCAAAGTCAGGAAGAAAATGGGACACAAAACTAAAGCCCAACCACACAGAAGCCAGTAGCCTATGAGAAAACACACAGTGGCTACCACATCATTCTCCACTTTAAGACTTTGAACTTACATAAAACTGTGAAGAAAATTATCTTGCAGAAAAGACCATGATCTTAACTATGAAATGTCTTTGGAAATCTTTTATCATCAGTCTGTGACAGGGGCAGAGCTGTCACACCACGTAACCGTCACCATCATGCACATTCCTGGACTCCCTGTCAATAATCAGTGAGCACCTAGTTCAAAACAACCAGGAGGCTGGCATCCAGGGACCTTTTCAGTTTAGACTCAGATGATGGTAAATATAAACCAACTCTAAAAATCCCTTACTAAATTAGTCTCTATCTATAAGCTCTATCTACAAAACAATCACCCCAGAACTCACTTCTATACTCTTTAGTAATTGAATTAAAACCTGCAAAGCGCTCAGAACAAAGCCTCACAACCAAAGGCATGTCCAAGCAACTGGCATGCATCTCCCTCCAGAGGCAAACCTGCATGGCACACTTTCAGGATTTACAATGGGACCGGATTTTAAACTTTCAACCTTCAGCTTTTTTTTTTTTTTTTTAACCAAAGTGACAAAAAAATTTCTTTAGCGGGATTATATTGAGAGAATAAATTCTGGCCACCTCTCTGCCCCTGCCTCCAGAGCAGCAGCGTGGCCTTTGGCCACAGGCCAAGGGGCTTTGAAAAAAGAGTCGAACTTTTCCCAGTTAAAAACAAGCTCACTTTGGACTCTGCCCTCCTTCCTCTTCACTGCCTTCCAGTCTAACTCAGCCACCTTAAGACCCCACACACAGCAGACACTGAGCTGTGTCAGTCTGCTGCACACAACAGTTCTTCCTGACCACTCCCAACAGTGTGGCTGGCGGGTTGGTTATCCAGGACAGAGCTCCCCTAGCCTCTATGCACAGTATGAGACTGACTCATCATAAAAAAGGAGCTGCAGAGCTCACATTAATAATCCTGCCTAACGTCGTCAATGTAACAACCAAGTGAGCCGGAAAGAGCAACATATCTCATCTGCATCACAGTTTCTGCTGTCTGGGAACCACAGAGGCCATTGAGGCTATCAGAAAGTAGGTATTAAGTAAAAACAAACTAAGTTTTTACCAAGTGAAGTGGGTGAAACATGCAAAAGAGAAACTGATGGCTAAAAGAAACAGATGTTTAACCTAAATATAAAACATAATTATCTAAAATAAAACCAAATCATTAAGGACGAGGTACCTGTAACAGACGGCGAAATGCGCATAGGCAGCTACAATCCAGTTGTGGTGGCCAGCAACGATTAGCACCTTTCTTGGATCCACTGGAAATCCTGCAGGATTTAGAGAGGAGCATTTACATCTTAACTCAGTTGGAAAGCTCTGACTCCAAGGCCATTTCATTTCTCCCTGTCTGGCTGATAGGTGGTCAGAGCAGAGCACGCTCATAGCTTATACTACAGAGCATGCCTTCATCAGACAGAGGCAAAGGGAAGTGTTTCCAACAGATACCACAGCCCCAAGAGCCTAAAATGTGAACAGTTTGTCAACTGTTCCACAGAAAGAAAACAAAAACAGAGGATCACATTATACTTCAAATGAAAATGTGTGTTAAAAGATTTTCCAAGATCTAAACGATGAATCTAGATTTAAAATGGAAATAAAGGGCTGGGGGGTGGCCCAGTGCCACGGCACTCAGTACTCAGTACTGTAGCCTTGGGTTCAACACACAGCACCCTAAGAGAATGGGGGGGGGGGAGGGCGTGGGGAGGTCTGTGTCTGTGTCTGTGTGGAGCAGAAGAGTCATATTCAAACACCATGGCAGCCTGTCACTGAGAACGAAGCACAAGCCTTCCTTCTCTGTGTTCTGAAGCCCGCTTACCCAGCCTAACAGTCTCGTCTCCATTTGCAGAAAGCACAGGCTGGGTCCCACTTCCTCGGGCTTCACCTTCCGTGGAATTCAGTCCATTCCTGGCATCCACAGAGGGTCTAGCTGTGGTAGTTATTTTACGACTGGGGATACCTACAAAGGAGAAAAGACAGGCTTATCTGTTTACCCTTCCAAATATTAAAAATATCACATTTTAACAGAGGGACACGAGCATCTAAACTGTTATATCAAAAATAGGTCTTCAAACACATCAATGTATTGCAAACAATTTAACTATAAAAAGAAAATACGATACAACCCAACCAATTCCTGGTATTTTTATTATTCACAGCCCATGAGATTAAGGCTTATCATAGTACGTGCCCTTTTACTCAGCTTCAGGGTACTGAACAATCAGGCTATCCAATCTAAGCTGCTCTTTAGGCTTATAGTAGTCACATGTCATTCTCACTAGGTCGAAGCTCACTGCCTCAAAGTTTCATTTCCTCATGCTTTCAGACAGGATCTTTTCAAAAGCAACCCCTCTCAGAAGCACAATGCTGCCCAGGGAAAAGGCCAACTCTTCTCAGTAGCTGAGGGCATACTGACCTACACTTGCAGAGCTCCAGGGCTCCAGTCCTTGGGCTAAGGGTCCGCGATGTACATGGCAGCTGTGGTGCTGCCATGGAGATCTTCTTGGGCCCTTACAGAAGGTGGCATCAACCCCTGTTCCACATATTATGTGGTTTCACTCTCAAAGGACACATGCTGATGAGGTTCAGATTTATCGAGACTCAAATAACCAAGAAGGTTTTTATAATTTTTATGTGTGTTCTTGTTCAGTGACAAGTGTGAACAAATTTGAGCTGCAGTACCTGGTGGGGGCAAGTAGCCGTGGAATAGGACACTGCCACAGGACGACCTCTCCAGCTCCTCACATAGCAGCAGCCTTCGAACTGTAAGAGTCAACACAAGCTTGTCAGGGGGACATGCGAACACACACCTGCTCCACGTCTACTTTCTCTAGTTAAGGGTGAGAAAAGAGAAAGGGGAAATGTTTAAAATAATTCACAGCTGAGGTCATCTTTTTACTAGGAAATACTAAGCACTGAACTACTCTCAAGAGGACCTGCTGGAAGACACTCTGCCCTGGTCAGTCCCGGGAGATCAACACATACCTAATGGAGTGATCCCGTAAAACTCTGCTTCGTGTCTGAGAACATTGATGCTCACTCCCCTGTAAAGACACGAACAAAGGCTGTGAGCTCTCTAACCAACAACCTGAGCTGCCAGGAGACAAAGGAGAAAGCACCAGACTCCTCACGGGGACCGGGTGTCAAGCTTACATCTGTTTTTCTCATAATCTGACAGTCTAAAGGAAAGTCACATAGAACACAACATTCCGTTGGGCTGGAGAGATGTTCAGTGGTTAAGAGTGTATGCTTCTCTTCCAGAGGGCACAGGTTCAGTTCCCAGCACCCAAAGGCAGCTCAGAGCCACCTGAAACTCCAGTTCCAAGGGATCCAACTCCTCCTCCTGACCTCTAAGGACACACTGTATGCACATGATGCACAGACACATGTGTGGAAAAAACATTCATAAACATAAAACAAAAATAAAACTTCAAAAAAAAACATTTTGTTACCTAAAAACCACATGTATTTTGATGATTTGTGTAAGAGGGCTAATACAAACAAATTACCAAGAAAAATCCAACAAGAAAGAAACCTGTAGAAACAATTGTCTTACTGTCTTAAGTACAATTCTTCCTATTCATAATTTAACCTTCCTTGTTGTACTGTAGGCGCCTTGCAAGCTTAGCTTTCTTCTGACTGTGCCTAGAACAGTGCTCACTTACACACCAAGCAATATATCTGCTGGTAAAATAAAGTGAAACTTGGATTTTAAAAGGCCAGCAAGGATGTTTTATCCAGATGAAGATGGTTTTGCCACACAGTAGTAAAGTAAGGAAATATGTAAATAAGTGAAAACAGTGAGCTCTGAGGCCACAGCACCAAGGCCAACTGGAACACTCAGCTTCGATCTGCTCCTCCTTAGAGAAACCTTAGCATATGGAATTGTGAGTTAATGGTTTCATTTTCTATTAGAAGGTATGGACTTGGAAGGGTTGGAGTGGAGCAATTGCAGCCCAAAGAGAAAGACCCAAGGGGAGGGGATTCAGATCCGTCCACATACCCGAAATGCTAGATGGGTGTGGCAGCCCACCTGTAACCCCAAATGCAGAAGGCAGAGAAAGAAGACCCTAGAGCAGGTTGGCTTGCTAAACTAATCCAAGTGATGGTAAGATCTGGGTTCAACTGAGAGACCATGCCTGCAAATAAAAGGCAGAGAGAGAGATCCAAGGTGCCTGACACCAACTTTAGTTCGGGCACATGGACATACAGACACACAGACACACAAGACTGCAGAAAACTTCCCAACTCCCCTTTAAAACCAAAAGTCAATGGTACAGTGGCAAAGGCCCAAGACAAGGAAGGGCTCAGGACACACACGGGACTACTCAAGGAGCTGCAGGCAGTCCCCAGACAGCTGAGAGACAAATTCCTAAGTAGTGGTACCAGCAATACAAATATGTTATGCAATCCCAGCACTAGGGACTCAGAACCAGGTAGATCTCTGTGAGTTCAAGGCCAGCCTGGTCTACAGAGCAAGATCCAGGACAGGCACCAAAACTACACAGAGAAACCCTGTCTCGAAAAAATAAACAAAAATAAAAACAAATGTTATGCAAGAAACAGGGTTACAACAATTTTTCACAAATGTCTTCCTTTTTTTTTTTTTAAAGGAACCACTCACAAAATTTAAATTTGCTGGGCCTTTTTCAAGCAAGAAAAGGTGCTGAGTGCTAAGAAGAGAGGTGAGTATACAGTGGGCCTTCCCTTGTGAATTAACACTGGGTCAGTCACAAAGCAACTTGAGTTTTTAAATAAATGAGGTGCATGTAAACAATCTCAGTCAGGAAGTTGAGGGCCTCCCTCTCCCCCATTCCAGGCCCAGACATAAGATGCAAACAAGTACCCCTCAGTGCTCTTCTACAGACCTCACAAATGCCTGGCCTGCACACATCAGATACATTCAGCACTGGGAATATAGCAAGGAACAAGTCAGACCAAAATCATGAATATACAACTCCATCTGCAAAGAACACATCTTCAGTATGAGCCAGAATTCAGTGGAGCAGCAGCTAACGGTGACACCAAGGTTTCTAAAAGTTGTCCCTACAAAAAATTCTGAGCCTCAGTGAAGGTTTGTCAAAAATCCTAACCAAAGCTTCACAGTAGAAATGCAAACTGTAATTCAAGACGGCAAATTCACAGATACAGTTCAAGTGATTGTTCATGATCCATATCAGCTGCAATCTACTACATGTCGGTCATGAGGCCCTTAAAGGGTGCCCTTAAGAAAGATCAGCGCAAAGGTAAGTGTATACAGCAGGAGCTGGGGCACTGACAGGCAAGAAGTCTTAGGTAAACACTGCAAAGACAGACACTGGAGAGCTGCCACTGTGAGAGAAATTAAGTACAGGCAGAAGACAGACAAGCAAGACTAAACCCACAACGATCAGCCATTTGTCCAAAAGAACCTCTCCACTCTCAGCAGAACAGCAGCCCGGTGAGACGCAGGCTGTGGGCTGCAGGACCAAATGAACTACAGAGGGGCAAGGCAGGGACCGCCCAGGAAGCTGCTACAACATCCTGGAGGAAAGAGGCCTGGTGGCCTGTACCATCCAACTTCAGCTGAGGATGCCTGCTGCTCACGGGGTAGATCAGAGGTGCTCAGAGGCTGGAAGAAGCAGGTAACAAAACACAGGTGGAGGTTTGCCAAAGGCACACAGCACATCTGTGTCTACAGCTGTGGTCTACAATTAACTACACACTTCAAAATAACCGAGGAAGTACTAAAGGTTCCCAACCCAGAGTATCATTTGAGGAGACGATGCAGTAATTACCCTGATATGACTGTCACATGCTGTACGCTTGCATCTTACTAAGTGCCAACACGGTGTGCCATAGTAAGTACAAACACAGCAACTAAAAAGCAGTCTTGGGCAAGCATATTACTTTGTGCCCAGGTCCAAACAATGGGTGCCAGCAAGGCCTCAGAAACGACGAGACCCTTACCTTAAGTCGAGTTCCTTTGTCCGAAGAAAATTTAAAATGGGGGCGAATGCTGCCGGGTCCCTATCAATAAATATCTGCAAGTGAAGAACTGTTTTATTATCAAGTCAAAAATGTATGTCCCACCTTCAACATCTGAAACACTAATGAGGAACAGAAATTGACTGACAAATTGCCTTGGTTTTGATGTTTCTAAAATTGAAATGGTATGGCCGTAGTCAGTGTGGGCATGTGTTTTCTTTTTCTTTTTTTTTTTTATTTTATTTTATTTTACAATACTATTCAGTTCTACAGCCACAGATTCCCTTGTTCTCTCCCTTCCTGCCCCCTCTCCTTCCCCCCAGCCCACCCCCTATTCCTACCTCCTTCAGATCAAGGTCTCCCCCGAGGACTGGGATCGACCTGAAAGACTCAGTCCAGGCAGGTCCAGTCCCCTCCTCCCAGATTGAGCCAAGCATCCTTGCATAAGTCTCAGGTTTCAAACAGAAATTACTAACAATGCTTGGGGGAAACACCCGGGCAACCTCACGCTGCTCTGGCAGCACCCGCTGCAGTGGCCACAGGGACTCCTGGGAATGAATGACGAGGGGAGCACTGTGCTCTCCTGCACAGACACAGGTCGGTGCTGCCACGGCTGCCACCTGAGGACAGGACTTCCGCAGCCTTAGCTGACAACCTCACCATCTCTGCTTCATGGGCTAGGAGGACATCAGATGGAGGACCCCAGAAGGAAAAGGACAAAGATGCTTCCAACGGGAAAACCATGAACTGGGTTTTTGTTTAATTTTGAACTAAATTTCATGCAGACACATCTGCTTTGCTGCGTTATTTTGCCTGCAACTCTTACCAAACAAACAACTTTAAACTGCTTCTGCGGGTTGTCGCTCTCTTTCACACTAGTTATCTGCACACAAGTGCGTCCACAGCCACGTTGTGAGCCTTTGTCTCCACAGGTTCATAAAAAATTGTAGGACTTTCCCACCTCCAAGTTTCTACCACTCCAATTCCAAAACAGTTTCTTCCTTATATTGATTGACTATTAAAGTTTCAATTATTGACTAAGGAACTATCCCATCAATTGTCAATGCAATCTACATCCTATAATGACTCTAATCACAAACATCTCAGACTGCTATACACAACAGTTACCGCTTAAGAGTCTCCAGGTTAGAAACACTGCAATCCCAATTTAACAAAAACGCCATACTAAATTTGTGTCTACTACAATGTGAGCTTTCCTGTCACTATACACTGAAAATTATAAGGATTTGTTGACTGAATTTCGAAACACAACTTTATACTCACAGCACCGGTTTCATCTCGAAGTGTTGAAATTCTTCCACTCAGCAAACTAGGAGCCATTAAAACAAGCTGTAGTTAGTTGCAAAAATCTGAACATAAACAACTCCCTTACTAATGTCAAAACCAACACAAGCAAATTTTCTGTCTCCACTTAAAAAAAAATATCAATTTTAACCAGGTGTGGGGTGTATGCCTGTAACTCCAACAACTAGAAGGCTAAGGCAGGGGGATCAGGAGTTCAAGACCAGCCTGGGATACACAGCAAACCCCTTCTCAATAGTATAAAAACAGTAAAATTTCTCATTTAAGAGTTAACATTTTTAATTCAAATTATCAAAAAATCTTAATTTAACTAATAAGGAAAATTTTCATATTTTGGCAACTAACCAAATATATAATATAAAAAATTGCATTAGTTACCTGGAAAAAAAAGAATCTGGAATCCACATGAGAGTCTGTCTTGAGGTACTGAATCTGCAATTGAAACCGCCTTGCATTATAAATGAGAACACACCTTGAGACAGGAGACAGTAATGCTCACAAGCTGATATGGTTACACTTGCATTGATTCTATTTATCGTGTTTACTACTTTTAAATTTTACTACTTTGCAATCGGAGTTAAGATTTTCAAACAGCTCTCAGCAAAATCAAATGCAATGCTTCCTAAATCCCAACTTTTTTAGTCCATCACAACAAGTTCAACTTCTTGGCTCAGCTGTACAAATCTTTGGTGCCGCTGCTGTCCCCCAACTTTGTGTTCCTGTCTTGTGTCTCCATCCCAGCTCAATCACCTTCTTCATGTCCAACAGTCCAAGTCCCAGCCATCTTGCTGACACCACTAGCTTACCAAATCCACAATGGTGTTTCTAGACATTTCGTCCTGTATGACCTCTTTCTGAGCAATTAGTAACTCATGTAAATTATGTATTCAACACTCTCTCTACAGCATTCTTGGGCTATCTCCACTATGTGCATGCCTGGTGCCCACAGGGGGCAATAGAGGCCGTCAGACTCCCCTGGAACTGGAGTTACAGACAGTTGTGAGCCACCACATAGGTGTTGGGATTCAAAACTGGGCCTTCTGCAAGAGCAACAAGTGCTCTTAACCACTGAACCAACTCTCCAGCCCCAAATAATTAATTTCTTATAGATAGATCCCACATACGTTCCATTAAAAGATCTTATAGACACACAAGGATGCTAACTCACAACTAATTCCACAGGTTATAATAAACTAAATGTGAAGCAATTCCTATGCACATTAATCTAAGAAAGGAGCTAAAAACAGGTTAGGTAGCACATGCCTGTAATTCCACTACTCCAGAGGCTGAGGCAGGAGAATGGCATAAGCTCCATGCCAGCCTGGAGAGGCCAGTGGGACTTTGTTTCAAATAAAGACATAAAGACATACATAAATAAGAAGGAGTTCAACAAGCAGGTCCTCAAGAAAACATGACAATTTTTCCTACCAATGTGTCTTAGCAAACTCTTTAATAGAACAAAGGTTACCACTAGTCATTAAAAGAAAATCAGTCAATGGTGAATCCACAGAAAGACTGGATTTCAGAAGGCATTAGATAACTTCAAGTAACGACGGTGGATAGTTCATCTTGATTGTCTATAATCACTATGGAAACAACCCTTCGGCGTGTCTGTGAAGGAGTTCCGAATTAGATTAAATGAATGGGAAGATCCACCCATGCCCTAGTTTGCTTTCTGTTGCCTCGATAAAACACTGACCAACATCAACCTAGGAAGAAAAGGTGTATTTGGCTTCCATCTGTCCCTGAAGGAGGCCAAGGCATGAACTCAAGACAGGAAATGACGCAGAGACCATGGAGCAATGCTGCCTGCTGGCTCTTTTCCTCGGCTTGCTCAGCGACCTTTCTGATACAGCCCATGCCTGCCTACCTAGGGATGGTGCCACCCACAGCATGCCAGACCCTCCTATATCGATTAGCAGGGAAGAAAATGTTCCCTGTGGCTCGCTCAGCTTGCTTTGTACAACCAGGGCCCCCTGCCCAAGAGAGGTACCACCCACAGTGCGTTGGGTCTTCTTCCCACATCAATCATTAATCGAGAAAATGTCCCAAGGATTTGCCTCAGGCCGATCTTAAGGAAACAATTTCTCAGTTGAGGTGCCCTCTTCCTAGAAGACCTTGCTTATGTCATGTTGACAAAACCCACCAGCACCACTCCCTTGGCTGGTGTTCAGGAACTCAAGGCAGGAGTCTGGGGGCAGGAACTGAAGCAGAGGCCAAGGAGCAAAGCTGCTGGTTCGGGCTGAAGGACTGAATCAAAGAAAAGGGCTGAAGAGCAGCCTGCATCACTCCGGCCTGAGTGCAGACACCGAGCGGCCCCCTCTTACCTAAACGGGTACCTAAGTAAACAGACCGTGAGTGGCACTGGGATTCTTCACTAATGCTGTAAATAATAAACGCTGCCGGTTTTTAAAGAAATCCCCAAGTCCTAACTCAAACAAAAACCTGCCGTCCCCGCTCCTTGAGCAGCAGGCTTGTGTCTTTCTTCTACGTTCTGCACACTTTTTGCATCTTCCTCTGTGACTTCAGAGCTTCAGGCCATGCCACAGGCCATCTTCCATCAGTCCTTCCGGAGTCCACAGCCACTCACAGAAGGACTTTTTCTCTTAGTGACTTCTGTGACTGTCTTAACTATGTTAAACTGTTTT